GATCTCTCGCCACAAACAACAGGCGTTTCTGTCGAAATCGGCGATGGCGAAGACGCGAACAGGCTTTCTCGAGCCAGGTGATAGCGACTGGCGTCGTAAATAATCAGCAGATAGAGGCAGCTGATCGCCGAGCGAAGCGGATGGGTATAGTCACGGAGCTATTGATAACATTATCATAAAAGCGGCGTTAAATGGTCGACCGCGAGGTTTCGTCGACGCGGTGGCGGCAAAACGGCTCTATAAATGCGTTTACTTTGAGCCATAAAAGCGGAGTGGTTCGGTTGCCACCGTTAACGTACATCCGCGCAAAACGTGCACGTATTCGCCTTGCCGAGCGTGTGCGTGGCGCAACATCCATGGAAGGAACGAGACGTCGAAGCACCGCCGCTTTACGGTAAAAGCCCTCTTTGAGGGATCCGTTTATTGGTTGCTAAACATCGATATATTGCTTTCGGGGTTGCGCAAAGAGGCACGCTGTCCTCCGCATATCCATCCATTCAACTATACGCCCAGCTCTTTCCCTCTTCCTCTGCTTCCATGCACCGCCACGCAGCCGTCCTGCATGCGACGTCGCGTATAATACATACTTAGACGCGTGTGGCGGTTTCTGAGCTTTTGAAAGCACCGTCGTGACGCGAATAAATATTTTCGAAACCGAGCAAATCCCAACCTGCCTGCGATTTTACAGAGAACCGACGAATCCGCGAGAAAATCTTACGCCATGGTTTCTTAACGTGGACGCTAGTCCTACGGGCGATAAGAAACGCCGAGGAAATCTCGGAAGGGTGGTTGCTGGTTCTAGGTGCCTAGGTATTAAACTCGGCTACCTAATACGACGATTGTACGTGAAGCGAGTGGCGAACGCTTTCGTTTATCGAAAGAGATCCGACGAAATCGAGCAATCTCATCGTGGATGAGCCTAACGCTATTTTATCCCCAGTTTAAGCGAAACGTCCTGCCGATATTCGTATCTCGTCTACGACGACGTCCCAACGATACACGTCACGCGAGTTCACGCAGAGATGATCGATTCCACAGGATAAAAAGCGGAATCAACGAAGGATCAACGAGCATCTCGTCTGAAAAACGTGTCCCTTCGCTTAAGACGATCCCTGTCAACCGACTTACATTTATCCTCCTCGCTGGCGAATATTTTATCTGCCTCGTATCATACTGGAAATGTGTTCCCCGAATAACCGTCGACGCAGTGAATAACAAACATGGCGGCGAATCCAAGAGGAATATCGCTTTCAAGAGCTACAGAGTATAGTTGGACCCCCCAAGAATGTCTGTCACATTTTATCGGGCAGTTGGACAAAACTACGCTAAATATTATTTTACGAAGGTCGTTACCCTAACGACTCACGGAATTTCCATGAAATTGCTTAATAAATCGACGAACTTTTTCACGTTGACTTAACGGGACCGAGGCCATTTGTTTCCGCGGATTTTATTGCCACCCGTGGCGTTAATAAAGCAACCCTGTTAGGATTCGTCGCTGCGTGGAAACTTTCGACATAATTTTCAACGTAACTAATATTTTATCTCGCAATCCTGAAAGCACCAAAAGCGAATACTTTGCAAGAAACATACGCGATCGATTCGAAATGGAAATAGAAAATGGCGTGCAGCCGTCACGCCAAAGGACACGTCGGCCATGGTAATAATAATAGCAGAAATATTCGGCAGTGTGTCGAACGTGTGCGTGGGTGTGAGCAGGATTTCGTGGGTAGTTGGTTGGCAACATGTGGTTCGACGAACGCAATCTGCCGCTGACATTTCGAATTAAACTCGCTCGGGGACTACCCTAACCGGTAAGTTCGCCCGGAGGAAGTAGGAAAAATTCGGCTCGTGTATCTTTTCAGATCGCAACTTTTCGAGATCGAACACTCGCTGTAGGAATCGCTTGAGACGAGGGATTTCTTTCTTAAAATTATTATATCAATTTTAGCTTGCAATTAGCGACGCATGGGAGTATTTTAATCGCTGGAATTACAACGACAGAGGCAAGGAGCAGAGGCCGCAAAAACTGCAAAAGGGTTCTTACGGCCGTAGCTCTCCAGCTTCGGCTAAGCCGATATGCATTCATTATAATAAGAAATGGAAGGCGCCGAGTGAAAAGTTTGAACGCGGCCTGGCTTATCAACTTCCTCTGAATTTTCTATTATTTAAGAGAACTCTCGTTCCGTCTCCTGTCCTCTAGGGTTGCGAAGGACCCTCCTTCTCCTCATCCTCCAGCCATTCGTGGCACTCTTCCCTTCGAGTTAGCTTAACTTTCTTCTTTCGATGCGGTGCAAAAGCTAAGATGCGCGGCATTTGAAGTTCGCCGAATGCCCATTAGCATATTTATTTGTCATTCAACGCGGCCTTAAACGCGTTTCACCCGTAAAACCGACCAACTTCCCTTCCAGGTGGTTCGACTCGAGGCGCGAGCAATAACATCCGTATGTACGATTTATCCTTGATATTGTATCAGGCTGTATCTTAAATGCACTGTGTAAACACTGTCTACGTATCACGCGCACGCTTTGAAGTCGACTGTACAGCGTTGTTAAACCATTTTTTCGCAGGCATGCTGTTTCATAACGCAATCTTCGATGCGTGCCGCAAAGTGCCGATACGATCGGGCAATAAAAAAAATTGTTGCTATTTTTTACTCGCACCTCGTGGCGACAGCATATAAACTAAACGTAAGGTCGTACGCCACCGGCGCGTTGCATGACATAAATATCATAAATGACGCATAAAAGCGTTTCACATGTAGGCCACGAAGAAAAATACAGTCTTACGACCAACGGAATTTTCACCGTCGATCGTTGTTTAGCCAACAACACGGGGAGCACGTTTTACTGATATTTAGGTACTCCTTATCGTTAGACACAACGTGAGTGTATAACTTGATTGTCTTGCTCGCTTAATAAAGGGGTTACGTTTAGTATTGTTACGATTGTATGAACCCTTGTTAAACCAGCACAGAATTAAATAATAATTTTATAATAACAAAGTACCATAACTCTGTGTTACATTATCATTTTTGTAATTTGTTCGAAGGAAACTGAGGAGATATAAAATATGTAAGATAAACGAAACACGTGAACGTCGAATTTACAATCTATATCGTTACATCAGTAATTCTTGGACCCTTTTATCGGACTATCGAAATGTCGAGAAGAGAAAAACAGTTTACATCGCAGGGACATGGTCAAACGGATAGTGTATCTGGTCATCCAATACATAATGCATTCGCTGGAAGATTAGAAGCAAGAAATCGAGCCACGAAGCTTCGTAGTGGAAGCTTTATATCTACGAGGGTACGGTCGTCTCAAAGCGCTGGCTGGCCCTCTTCTCGACTATTGGGAGGGGTGAAATTCACTGTTCTGGAAGAGAAGCGACTAAGCTAGCTTCCACGCGAACATGACAACGTATTTTATTGCTCCTCTCGCTTGACTTCCGGAAAAGGGAACGCCACTTCAAGTATTGCTCACGGTTTAGCACTTCAAAATCTTCTCCATTTATTGGATGAAGTAATAAATGGAATAAATCCGATGAATTAATAGATGGACAATGATAAAATAAAACTCTTCGAGAGCTTTCATTGCCGAGGAACAAATATTTGCGACATAAATGCTTAAATAATCAAATGCATGCGTTTCACGGGGTGAAAAACGGTATCGCCATCTCGCGGTGAATGTTGAATTAAATTTTAGATATATTGTATATCTATATCTATCTATCTATCTATATATACAGGGTGTCCCAAAAATCGGGGAGGAGCCGGAAATGGGGGGTACCTTCGCTACCGCGGCCGCTCGAACGGTCTACGCGCGCTCTGATTGGTCGGGGTTTTCGCTTAATATCTCCTTAACGAAGCCCCATCCGACATTTTTGCAAAGGAAATTGTTGTTCAGAAACGTCTCAACTACCCCCCATTTCCGGCTCCTCTCCGACTTTTGGGACACCCTGTATCCTTTTAGCTTTTTCAACAACCTGGTTTTGAACAACTAGGGTGGCGCCATCTCTCCACAAGAGGCCCAAGTTTGTCGAGAAATAGTTCCAATTTCAAACAAGTAGATGGCGGTTTCTAATTCCTTAGTGGCGCCATCTCTCCACAAGTGGCTCAAGCTTGTCGAGACATAGTTTCAAATCCAAACTGCTAGATGGCGCCACCAATTTCGTAGTGGCGCCATCTCTCCACAATTGGCTCAAGCTTGTCGAGAAATAGTTCTAATTCCGAACCGCTAGATGGCGCCACATAGAAGCTTGATTGGTAAAAGTATCAAATAACGTTTCCCCAGCTAAATTTAACCATTCCTATAGTTGAAAGATAATACATAATTAATACTAGAAACATATATCGACTAATATACCAAATACAATAGAAAATGTGATATTGATAATCTACACTGATTAGAGACCCCATCTAGTGGGTTAGAATTAGAACTATTTTTCGACAAGTTTGAGTCTCTTACGAAGAGATGGCGCCACTCACGTTCCTCAAAACCAGGTTGTTGAAAAAGCTAAAAAGATGTTCTATTGTATTTATTATATTACAATTATGCTTGTAATATAGTAAATAAATTATGTTATAAGTTGTAAACATCATCTGATGATATTATTACCTTAAATTATCGAATAAGTAATACTTGTTTCAACTTTTAAAATGCTGAACGAAGTACTTTGCATCAAGTACGGAATAAATACGCAAATATGATTGGAAAATGCAAGAAAATATTAAAGAAAAATACATATTGTTATGTTATGCTTGTTTTATTGGCTGTTGCAATGAATTAAATTGAAAAATTCAAATCACAAGTACCTTTGATACTTCATAATTATCTTTGATAAAAGCTATCAAAGTTCAACCAGACAACCTGTAACGTGGAAAGATTTAATAGTTCAGTATGAGAACTTTGATAACAGTGGGCAACTACTTGCGAATTACAATGTTAAATTTAAAAACCATTGCAGAAGAAAGACCCCTGTTCCCATGTAAAAGTTAACAAATTCAAACTGCGACCCCTTCTACGATCTATAAATTAATATGCGTTTTCATTGATTGTGACTACGTATTATCGTTCCTCGTCCAATATAAAACAGAAATCAGGAGAGCGGGAAAATCAGCTTCCAATTTCAATACATAAAGCGCTAACTTGTTAATAATGATAGTGGCGACGCCAATTTTGCGAAGGGAAGGAGCAGCCGAACAGCAGTGAAGCAACGTGCAGCAACGTGCTTGGCCCATTTTAACTACAGAACTGCCGAATTATGATCGTTCATATTGTGTAATTTGTTAATAGACCGTACTCCCCTATTCCCATTTTATTGTTGCACGAAACGTAATCTGTGTATTGTATTTTTTATAATCGAAGGAATCTTTTATAACGTTTTCACGGAGAATAAAAAACAAAATTAGTGATAACTCCGACATCGTCCCTTTTTACTGCCGACACAAATCACCGGAGCCTCATGTCTCTTTGCTGCTATTGTTTTTAATGTTTTATACCGCGTATGGATTTAACCATGGATGTTCAAAATGAGGTATGATATACTTATATAAATACTCAATGACCAGGGCATTTAAAGCTATAACCTTTCAATGATTCTCCGATGCGCCACGAGATTTTAGGTTAGACTTCTGGTTACATGATATAATTGAAAGTATCGTTGATTATAGAACAGACTGTAACCGTTGAAATGACGCATTCAAATTTAAACAATATAACATATTTCATAACCATGAAAAAATATACGTTTACCTTTAGGTAACATTATAAGCTATTGTATAAGTTAATATTAATTCGTATTAATTCATATTAATATTCGATCTTATTTTAATTTCGCATACATACTTTTGTCCTAAATCTTTGTAAATCTTTTGAAATTATACCAATGTATACTTAGTTTCAAAGAAAACATGGTCATGAGGTAACACTGCTGACTATTTATTGATTGACCCAAAACTCTTTGTGAACATTATGTATATATCTTTTGTGCATAATTGATTTTCGTAATTCAAATCAATTTTATAAAGGTAATTCGTACATTTACTTTTTCATCACGTAGAATGCTTTCTTACCCTTGTTTTGGAGTACTTTCATTATTCTTTGGCAAACATGAAATTTTATAATTGTTATGCTATTTTGTTTCAGCTTGATTTTCAATTTCTGGATCTACATGATTTAAATGATAATGATAAGAATCATTTAATAGGAATTTTGAAATCTAATGTTACTACCGATGCCTTAAAATTACCGTGGGATACAATTGAAACTAATAATGATATTGATGTTGCTGTAGCAGAAATTCCTCAACTACAAAACCAATGGTATCACAATGGTAATTAGAAACCCTACAAAAATTATATCCATGTTCAAATGTTCATTGAAAATTATATATACCTTACAATGTCTTTTCTCTATCATTCTTTATCTAGCAATGCCACCTCCATCTTCGTACACACAGCAAATAATGTGCAGCGACTGGCAAGGACCACCTATGTACCCTGTTCCAACAGATGCCCATATACAACCATTTATGCCTGCAATGACTTACACTCATCCAGGGTACAATCTTGGAGGTGAAATTCATGATGTCAACTGTAATAGAGAGAATAACAGAAGGAATAATCGAGGACGAGGAATAAGGAGAGACAACTTCAATCGCGGAATGAATCCTGCAAATGACATACAACCAGGATACATAGGAGAACAAGGACAATTTCATCCACAGTTATCTTTTGTTGTTATGTATCCAGATCAGGCACAGCAACAGCAATTCTCTGGCCATGTTCACTACCCTCCATTAGCGATATATCAACCAAATCTTCATACGCATACGAATGCGCATCCGCATGCACAGCCTACATACGGATATCCTCCATACCATCATCCTTCTGGTAATATGAGGTGTGTTCGACAAACAGCACCGGTAATTTCACAACCTAATCAAGAGTGTACAAAAGTACAAACCGCAAAGTCACACGAAAAACGCGTGCAAAATGTCTATACACCCGTCAAACAACCTTTTCACCAAATAAATGAAGAAGATAACTCTTCGCAGACCAACATAGTCACTACAGTAATAACAGTAAATAACAGTAAAGTAGAACAGTGTACCGAGAATGCGGATGAACACACTGCCAATAGAAAGAATACAAATACTAATGGAAAAGTACCTCCTGTAAATGTGAAAATAGAGCACAATATTGTGTCGACTGTAAATGAGAATTGTAACGGAGCCGAAAAAAATGATGTGCCATGCGTAAATATTAACAGTAGTATCGAAGTAAAACAAAACGGAGAAACCGATAAAGAATACAAAAATGAAACAGTTTCCAGCATTAAGACTACTGTTGTTAAAACGTTATCGAAACCAGTTTCTAAAGGTGAGAATGAAGCACAAAAGGAAGATACTCCTACAAAGAGCGTACAGGATGAAATTATTATTAAAACGCCAAATACTTCTTCCGTTACTACGAATACTCCGATACCCTCACCTGCTACATCATCTTTGAGTTCATCTAGCATATCTTGGGCTAGTATTTTGAAAAAAGGAAGTCCGGAAACGCAATCAGCTCCACCGAATTATAAACCTATGGCACGCATTAATCCTTTACCTGTTAGTCCAGTTATAGAAAGTACTGTGGCTCCAAAAGCACAGTCACAGTTAGAAAAAGATCATCGTACCGACACGGTAGTTTTTACAAATGATAATGTCTCATCCAGCTCACAAAATGTAAATGAAAGTAAAAATTTACAAACGGAATCATTACAAAATCGTTATAATGATCCTATCGCCTTTCGAATGGGTGGTACGTTTTATTCTAATAAAGCGAACAATATCATATTGCGTTTAAATAATCATTTAAATATATTGTTTTAGAATTTTTATTAAACTACCAAATGGATAAACAAACTGTAAGTTTGTTACCGCGGGGATTAACAAATCGTAGCAATTATTGTTACATTAATAGTATATTACAAGCTTTACTTGCTTGTCCACCTTTTTATAATCTTCTGATGGCTCTACCACATTCTAAAAATCCCAGTAAAATGTCTTCCACTCCACTCATCGATAATATGTGAGTAGGGAAGAAATAACAAACGTATTAATATTCGTAACAAATGTTGAACTTCTTTTTTTACACAGGATTAAGTTTGTACACGAATTCACACCGTTATCAGATGGTGCACGATTGGCTAGAAAAGACAGAGCAAATAAACGAGGAGAAGATACTGTAGTAGATATACAAAGTGGAGTGGCCTTTGAACCTTCTTATGTATATACAATGTTGAAAAATACGTCAGCTGCGGGTGTATTTTCTGTGGAAGGACGTCAAGAAGATGCAGAGGAATTCCTTTCGTGCCTTCTGAACGGTATCAACGACGAAATGCTTGAAGTATGAACGTACTATTTATTATAATTTGCATCGGAATAGTACAATTTGAGTAATCGTTAACTATCTATTTCAGCTTATTAAATTAGTAAATAACGATCAAAACGTAACGACTAATGTTGAAACTAATGTGAACTATAACAACGGAGAAGAAGAATGGAAGGTAAAGCATGAACGTGCTGTTGTAATGGAACAATTAACTGCAAGAAACAGACATTAATATTAGAATCCTATAGGTTATGGGCCCAAAGAACAAAGGATCGATTACACGGTGTACCGAATTCGGGAGGACTCCATTGTCCGATATATTCCGTGGACAACTGAGATCTAGGGTATCGCGAGCAGGAGAACAACCAACCGATAACGTTCAACCTTTTTTCACTTTACAACTTGATATTGAAGTATTTATATTTAAAAAAGCTCTTTGTAAAATCATCGTACAATTATATGTATATATTAATAAGCTATTCTTTTTTTAGAAAGCAGAATCTGTGAAGGGCGCGCTCGAGATTCTTGTTGGAAAAGATCAATTAGAAGGAATGACATGTAGTAAAACAAAACAACAGATCGAGGCTTGGAAGCAAGTTACTCTGGAGGAATTACCTGTCATTCTTATATTACACTTAAAGTGGTTTGATTACAAACTTGATGGTTGCTCAAAAATCGTGAAAAGTGTGGAGTTTCCAGTCGACTTAAAATTAGATAGTAGTAAGTCTGAAATTTATGGTTGTTTTGTTTTACGTTAATTAAAATGTATCTAATGTATACCAATTTACTTACAGAATTCCTGTCACCAAATGCTGCAAAAAAATTAAATCCAAAACAAAAACACTACAAACTATTTGCGGTCACTTATCACGATGGGAAAGAAGCAACGAAGGGTCATTATGTTACCGATGCTTTTCACGTGGGATACGGTGGCTGGGTCAGGTATGATGATAGTTCATTGAAAGGTGTTTCGGAAAGTAATGTATTAAAGCCAACTCCTCCCAGAGTTCCATATTTATTATACTATAGAAGATGCGACACTATCGGAAATAATCAGTCAAATAGTGGTAAAACACGTTAGGAAGGGGAGCACTAACACATAGGTGAAACTATATTTTAAGTCTATTGAGGCAGTTTAAAAGAATGGCTTTTACAGTTTTGTGGTTCTTGTTGATATTTATATCTAAGTACAGAGAATGTTTATTACCCAATATCGTGAGAAAATAGAAAGCTATTTCCTTTTAGCATACTGTACTTCCATCGAATATTTGTACTAAGATTGTTGTTACAAGTTCTATGCATAGTTTTCTTGGTACACGAAATAAAAAGATAGTTAAAGTTGAAGTTAAATAAGAGTTTTGATTTTGGCACTCATAGTTCTATTGAAGTTACATAATTAAACGCTTACACATTACATTTTATGAAAATATTAAAAGTCGAGACTCTCTTGTACATATCTTTCTTATCTGATTGAGGATATACAATGTGTGAGAGAAAACATACATGGTAACTTTGTAAAAAAGGAAACGAAAATAGAGAAAAAAGTTTTTCTACTTTAACAACAAAATTTCTATGAAATGCAAATTTTATATATTTGAAAAAGAACATCTTATGCCTTAAGTTATTTTTGTATATAACCTTCCTGCACACTTATAAATACACATTCCAACTTGCCAATAATTTCTTTGTTATATTATGTGTTAACTTAATGTCTTCTTTCTGATTATGGAAAAGGAAATGCCATCCAATACTGTATTTTATTGTTTCTAGTATTACTTTCTTTCTGGCATCATTTTCTGAATTTATACGTACATATAAGTGAAACGAAAGCTCGAAAAGGAGTCGAAAACCGTTTTCGAGGTTAAGAAATAATTGGTAAGATGGAATAGTAAAATCGCTAGTGAGGGAAATTGTATAAACGACACAAAATTTATGTACAAAACTACGTCATCTATGTCAGATTTGCATCTTTAAGTACCAAATTTTTGATAAAAAAAAAAAAAAAAAGAAAAACAAAAAAACATTCATATATTCTTCTTTTATACATATGAAGGTAATTTGCTATTATTTGTGATAAATTTAATTAACAAAATAATTTAATGAATTTAAACACATTAAGTAACAGGTACTTGATTTTATTACTTTTTTGTTGTAAAACTGCCTAAATTATTTTAGGATACTTATTAACAAAAAGTGTGTTAAAAATTACAAGAATTAATGTTTATTGAATTTATTTTATATGAATAAAATGTTACTGTTTTGTTTTGCATTGGGTTAATGCAGGTATAATTTTGTAACTTTACTGTTTCTTGTCCTGCTTTTGGTCATAATTTCATTTAATTGCTTATAATTTAAATAATATAATATTTATATGTAAGTATAGTAATTTAGTAAAGCAGCAAAGTTATGTAGAATCCCATTGCAAAACATCTTACATACATTATTTACATGTTATTCAGCGGATAATGTAGATAAGAAATATTCTAAGTAAATTTTACAGTTGTAATTTATGCGATAAAATACAAAATGATAGTTTTCATTTACTTCCTATGGAAATGTAAATATATATCTACAGTTTATAGAAACTAATAAAAGTATGTACATATGTTATGGAAAATTTGATTATCATTTATTATAAGTTATTGTCAAATATTTAGACTGAACTTTTTACACTATTATTATTATTATTATTATCATTAATATTATAACTCCTTTTTACCATATTATAAGAATACTTAATGTTTATGCAAATTTCCAATTAAATAATATATTTTAATAAATAAATCGTACATAAACAAAGGCCCTGGCAATACTTCCATCAACAATGTATTTACAATTTACAAAATTACACTGTATGCACTAATTACAAATGAACTTTGTAATAGATTTTGTCACAAATCAGGTATAACTCAAGTAATCAGTATACATATTAAGCAAAGATAATCATAGTTGCTATCAATGCTATACATGTATAAAGTAAACAATTAGAAAACGAGAAATGCTAGAAATGTGGCAAACAAACTTTGCCTGCAAATAACTCTGAAATTACTGTAATCCATAATGCTAAAACAAACAGAATATAAGAAATCCCAACTTGATGAGAATTAGGTAACTGATATGGTTGTCCACCAATTTCGTCAATATGGAAACCCATTGGGAATATAACTGCAGCTAGGCAAAACAGGACCACTGAAACGGGATTTCAACTTTTGTAATTGCTAGATAATTTCAATCTTTATAAAACGATTGGTTTTATTGACTACACTTACTAGCTGTAAATCCTACCCATCTAGCATAAGGAATAACATTACGATCCCAATGGGAACTAGCTAGCAATATTATGGTCGCTGTTATGAAAATGCAACCAACAAAAATACAGCCAAGAGCCATCATCCATTCTGGCTGTAAATCTGGACTATAGCAAACCTGAGGTCTATTGTACAGTGTCATACATGACCACATTAGTCCTAATCTTGTATCTCCTACAAAAGTTGAGAATAAAAAACATGTTATATACATTTAATAATTGAAACTTTGTAAACATTTCTTGTAATCTACAGTTTGTATAATTACTACATTGTATAATTAAAATAAAGTGACCGTATGTTTCAATCTTAATGGGACAGTTTTTCATAGATTGTTTCAGTATCCAAATCGAACAATAATTTTTTACTTTTGATTAATTTCGTATTTCTATAAGTATGAATTTTGAATAATCTAGATCAGTACTTTCTAGCATTGATCTAGATATCAATCAACTGTAATTTGTTTCTGTTTATCAATAATTACGGTATATAATTCATAAATCGCTCACCACCGACATCAGTAATAATCCAATCAGGCATGGCAAGACTGACAATCGCGAATACATCAGCCGCGAGAAACAAGGTTCCCGAAATAATCGTTAATTTATCCATTTTGTATCGATTGTAATTAATTAATTTCACTTCTATTTACTGTCAGTAACGAAAGTTGTCATTACATGAACATTACACTTGCTTTTTATCCAGGTATCATTTTTGGAAAACAAGCATCCCACGGGCTTTTGTATTTACCGATCATAACAATTCATTGTTGGAGTATTGTTGACTTTAACATATCATTTGCGATAGTTGGTTCGCAAACACAATAAGCAGAGTATTCTCTGGGAACCATATTCAACAGAATGATATCAAATAGTTCCTATTTTAAACCGCTAGGTGGCGATGTTTAATTCCTTGGTAACGCCATCTCTCCACACGTGGCTCAAGCTTGTCGAGAAATAATTCTAATTCCGAACCGCTAGATAGCGCCACATAGAAGCCTGATTGGTAAAAGTAACAAAAAACGTTTCCCCAACCAAATTTAACCACTCCTATAGTTGAAAAGTAATAAACAAGTAATGCTAGAAGCCTATATCGAGTAATATACGAAATAAAATAGAAAATGTGATATTGATAATCTACGCTGATTTGAGACCCCATCTAGTGGGTTAGAATTAGAACTATTTTTCGACAAGTTTGAGTCTCTTACGAAGAGATGGCGCCACTCACGTTTCTCAAAACCAGGTTGTTGAAAAAGCTAAAAGGATGTTGTATATATTAATATATATAGGGTGTCCCAAAAGTCGGGGAGGAGCCGGAAATGGGGGTACCTTCGCTACCGCGGCCGCTCGAACGGTCTACGCGCGCTCTGATTGGTCGGGGTTTTCGCTTAATATCTCCTTAACGAAGCCCCATCCGACATTTTTGCAAAGGAAATTGTTGTTCAGAATCGTCTCAGCTACCCCCCATTTCCGGCTCCTCCCCGACTTTTGGGACACCCTGTATATGTACATGTATATGTAGATAGATAGATATAGATATACAATATATCTAAAATTTAATTCAACATTCACCGCGAGATGGCGATACCATTTTTCACCCCGTGAAACGCATTTCCTTCATTGTTTAATCAATTATGCTTCTAACATAATTGGTTATTGCAATGAATCAAGTAGAATACAATTCACAACTACTTTCGTTACTTGATAAAAGCTATGAAAGTTCAACCAAACAACCTTGAGGCTCTTATTTACGAAAGAGAACACGAATCTTTGTTACTCGATCTTTCTTACTAATATAAGCTGGAAAGAAACATATTATGCTGTCTTGAAACCATTCAATTTTTATAATAGAAATATATCAAATATCTTTTATCAATACACCTTGTACATTGACCCAAATAATACAGCTGCTACACAGAGTTCCCATTTATATGGTTCGTCGCGAAAAAATCAAACGCAATGAATGTTTGCGCATACTCGTTAATATTTCCAACGTTAGCGAAATTACGTGGCCATCGTGCACAGACAAAATATTGATTTGAAAAATCACTGGAATCGCTAATTTAAATAATTGCATTGCAAGCGCCGCGGTTTCGAACCGCGCTGACCACTCTAATAAATTGTGTTTCAATTAAAATTGATTTTTCAAGCTTTCACATACCGAATGAACTAACTGAAAATTATTAGTTTGGTTAGAAATAAACGAAAGTGAACTGGATTATCAAATGGCACATGTATTGTAAAATATTCATCGCAGAATAGTACATCGTCTCATCGGCAGGATACCCCATCCAGCATTAAAAAAAGATATAAATAAAAAAATTAATTATGACCGAAAGAAGAGTAAACTTCTAATAATAACAATTATATCCAGGAATAGGAACTTTGTTGACGAAGAACGAAAGGAAGTTGACGGTACACGGTTCGGACAACGGCCTCGGGGTGTATTCGATTTACTTTTTAAATAGTTCGCGAGTAATTTTAACCAGGTCGCTATCTTATTGTGTAACTGACCTATACCGAGGCTGCTCACCGTCTTCTCCGATGTTCCTTTCCTTCTTGCCCACCCGACTGTCCTCGCTGTTGTTGTTAGTCAAATTAGTACGAGAAGTCGAGGAATGGAAGGGGCCGTATCTCCCCTCTTCCATACCTCCAGCTATTTCATTTGTAACGTTGAACGTTTTTTACGAAAATCGTGAAAAAATTTCCGCCAGGAGAGCACCATCGACGATTTTCCTCCCACGGAAAAAGAACAATGTTTAATTGCACCTCCGACGCCTGTGCTCGCGCGTAAATCGAGTTACGTCTAACAAGCGTAACGATTCCTTGGTATTTTTGTTTCGCGCTCTGAAACAGACGAACCTCTAACCCGTTAAAATTGTTTAACCGTGAAAAAGAGTCCTGCTGGAATCTAGATTGTTTCGTGAAGAAAGAAGGGGCGAATCGAAAAGCCTTCCCAGCGTAGACGGGTAAAATACGTAGGGATAAAAATATTTAAGTCGACGCAAGATTAACCCGTTACGATTTCGTGAATGGTAGGATTAACGTAAAATGCTACCAATAACGCCGCGACGCTTCGACAGAACCAGCGGGGGTCCATTTTGATCCGAGTACCAGTCGGGGATTAAACTGTTGATCCACGCTGCGTTTACGTTTCCCAGCGTTCCTTTCAGTTTTCCACGCGAACGAGGATCCCAAGCCACGCAATACGAGGATCATTCAGAGTCTCTCGGGATCACGTATAAATTGTGGTAATATACCAGCGACTCTCTCGGAAATCGAGAGAGCCCTGCTGCGATGAGCTTCCTTCGCTCGTTATCTGTTTTCCTTTAATTGCGTTGTTCGATTCCTTGCGGGGGTTTCTTAGCACTTCGGTGATTGCTATAACAGAGAGATGCTTCGGTTGCGTAAACTTCGATAACTAAATTACTCTGGCGATAATGTGGTGCATACACTGCCAGTACCGAGTATTCCGTTTCATTTTTCGAACATTTCCAATGATCCTCGCTGGTTTCCCTTGATCGCGACAAGACACCCGCGCCATTAGTCTCCGTCGCGAAGAAAGATGAATCTTTCGGGTTTGCGCAACAGTCGTTGTCTTTCTTTACATTAATTGCAAGCCTTCCTGGGAAGGGTCCCAAGAGCGTTTCCGACCATTCTGTCCGCGAAGGTCTTTTATTCTGTAACCGAGACATTCCTGAGAACGATGTTTTCACGCGGTGTTCCCTCCGTTCAGCAGAAACCGCGATTGCGATGTTATCGTTTCTGTTCTGTTACGAGGTACACGCAATTTTTTGGGAAACTTACCAGCGGACGATCGAATTTAGCCTACCATTGTTCGACACTTAGGCGGTTAGGCGGGACACGCGTTTACCGCGAAAGAATGCAGCCACGCGATACCATTCGACGTTCTGCTTCACGCTCCAAGCGACCCATGAAACGTGGGATTTCAATTGTTGCGTACACCTATCGCGCGTTGAGACACGAGCTAAAGTTCAAACCACTTTTGACGTCTCCGACGGGGAATTGTCCGGCGCACAGGTAAATAACCGGGAATCGTATAACTAATTCGATTTGCTGTAACCCCCACTCCGCTGTCAAATCCAATTAACAGCGAATTACCGGGCTTCCCGGATAATCGGCCGCTACCCGCAATCGAATTTAACGTGTTGCAACGTTGAATGTACGTTTCGATCTTCGATTCTACAAGCACGAATGAAGATTACCGTGGACATTCACGGGGTGAATGATGGACCACGTCCATCGAGTTATCGTTATTTGGCATGTGGTTCGTATTAAAAGTTTCGCGACAATGGTCACCGAAGAGAAGCATAAGAGTGACGAAATCAAACGACGAATGACGTAAGATTGACGTAACAGTGAAATATTACAGCGACCGAACAAACTACTTAAGTTCCGTATCGCAACCAAGTTTCCGTCAACCTTATCAACCACCGTATTTCGCTGCATTTTAATCTTCGCTCTCGGGACCTCGTCGGACCAAAAAGTTGCAATCGATGGTCTGACAAAAAGTTGAGCGCGCAATTAGAACTCGTCGCAAAGTTGCAAACGTATTCGAATCGCACGCTTTCCCGGGGGTTCTTCCATTGAATCCAACGTTCACGACGAGCGGCAAGTACCACGCGCTGAGAAGTGCTTTCCTAGCCTCAGGTTGGTCGCTTTGAAGAGACCTCGCTGCCAGGCGTCGGCTACGCGCCGTTTCCGGACCGCTTGCTTTCCGTTCGCGCAAAAACGAGCGAGGCGAGCGCAAGAATTTACATCAGCAACGAAATGATACTCGTCCGTTCCAGTTCTCCGCGAAATAGGAGCAGCAGTCGCGAGTAGGGAAGCAGAAGCGGGGTCAGTATCACTCGCAGCCGTAACAAGGTTTAACGTTCCGGCATTATGCGCGTCGAAACGTTTCGATGTAGCCAACCGCGTTTCATTGTTTTCCAGCGAGTCAACGGCGAACCGTGCATCACCGTTGCAGCTTGCCACACGTGTTGCAACGATACACAGTCTGCGACTGATAGCCGTGGATTCGCATTTTGAGGTCGCAACGATCTGTTCTCTCTACCCACATGAGAAAATTCTGGATGGACGACCGGGAACTCGTCCTATTACTACACAATATCGCCTATTACTCGAATTTTCAGGTTTACCGCGTCTCGAATTATCCTCGAATATGGTACGAACTGAAAAATATCCTTTTCATCGTCGGAGCTATACTTTTCATGGCGTGGATCGCGCTCGGAAATATTATTGGAAAGAAATTGCGAGCTGCCTCGAGAAAACAGACGCGGATGCAAATTGTTGCGCTCTGTTTCCTCGTCGAACGAGAATCACGCGCGTTTCAAGCGAATCAATCCGTTCCGATCGGAAACTGCACCGAGGAAGATCGAGACACCGAATAGAAGCGACGTACTCGCGTAACGAAGAATAGTGTTTCAGCTGCACCGGTGCTTGTACCAACAAGTCGTTCGGATTGTAACGAGCTGACGATAAAAAGGCACTTCGATCCGGTTCAAGAACTTCCGACAGAGAGACAACGTGTTCCCAGCGAAATTTTCTGGATCTTGTTTCACGGACCGCTAGCTGGGAGCGGTCTCCGAAAGCGGTCCTGAAATAAAACTAGAGCACGAAGGACGATGTTAAACGATGGCCATTTTTGCTATCCGTTGGAACAGAAAGATGTTTACGTAATATATATTTACATCGCGTACGGGTTTGCGTTACTCGTTATCTATCACGCAAATAAAATGTCGCCCATCGGTGACCAGGGACTTTTTCAGAACGTCCACGGGACACGTTTGCGACGAGTGTAAAGGAAGTTTTCTCGTCGTGAGCGCAGAAAGAATTTAATAAACTCCCTTTTCAAATGGATTTCTTAATCCGTTACCAGTTTTTCTTCGCAACGTGTCCCCGTCGCGAAAACGCTGGTTAAATTCCTCCCATCGCTCTTCGCTTTGGAACAGATTGCTAATATGTTTTGCGCGGAACACTGGCGAAGTAACTTCAATTGCTACGGGAAGTATGTGTTTCGTAAACGTGAAAAGATGCAATTTAAATTCGTAATTGTTAATTGTAAATGAAATTTCTCTCTCTCGGGGAAACGAGAGTTTTCGCGTTCGCTCGAGAAGCTTTTCATAAAGGAGTTTCTGTGCTCGCCGCGAGCTTGATTTCGAGGAAACTAACTTTACCATTTCAGGAAGTCGGAATTTGGTTCGCTCCGAGGACTTCCTTTTCCTGTAACCTGTACAGAGAGTAGCCATTTGCTTCCATCCCTCTTCAGAAGCAGAAAATATGATATAAAACTTTTGTGAAATAAACCGCGTTCGTCTTGTTCGCAATTGGATCAAAACGATCATCTGATTACGACGAGTCTAAGGGCGGCGATACGAGACGAAGAGCTCCGAGAAGTGGTTAGGCTATCCCCACGCACTTCTCAGACAGGATTCGCACCGGGTATTTTAAATTTCAACGAACGAAGAAACTCCAGAATTTTCGCTCGAGTCAATTACCGGTACACGCGTCTGAAAGCACGAGACTTGCGTTCCTCTTTCAAACGCGTCGCGTCTTCAGAGAACTCGATTTACGCTTGCTTTAACTCTCTACTGACAACGAATCGCGAAAGCGGAGCAGTATTTCTGTTTTACATTGGAATAAATTGTTTTAGCCTCTGGTTAAAGAAACGAGAATGCATTTTATTGGTTTCGCGCTCGAATCGATCGAGTTCGCCGCGCGCGTCTGCGAACGGTATTTATTTCTCCCTCATTGTCTCGTCGCTTTACACGGGGAAAATCGATGCTCGCATTCCTCTCTCTTTCCTTTGCACTTTTTAGCGCCGCGTTAATGCCTTCGTATAGAAACCAGATTCTATGGACGCGGTTCGAATCCCGTGGAATCGGAAAAAGGAACGATTTCAACGCTGGAACCAGCCAAGGGTGCAATGAACAACGAACCGAACAATCGCGCTTAGGGACGCTAGCGGCCACATAAAGATAGACAGAGGGCTAATAAAACTGGTCGAGAAATAGAACCTGAGGAAAAAGAGAAGCGAAAAAGTAAGAAAGAGTTCGGAAAAATCGATTTCGCCGTTATGCGATTAAATGCAGCGCGCTATTGACTTTTGGTAGCTGTTTCGCTAAATGTATCCAGCACTCTATTTCCTTCTTTCAAAAATTACGATTGCAGTGGTTACGGGCACTATTTTGTAAATTCCTTGAGACCAAGCTTCGCAATAGTCTTGAGAGTGCTGAACTCTGTCAAACATGCGGAGCATAACATAATTTGTTTGAGTTAAAATCTGATATCCGTGAGGCTCGATGAAATAACGCTCGGCTGCTTAAAGCTCGACGGGGAGAAGTAACGAGTTTCCTGATCTCTTCTAAACGCGCTCACGGCGTCGCCAAAAGAGGATCTCTATTTGTCATTGTCATGGCTTGAGTGAGATTAACGACCGTCAGAAGGAAACTATAAGCGTCCAATGCAGCGAGACGCTGTGTACCGTCTTCACGATTTTTTACCAAGCAGATATTTAACGGTTTCCGATACCATTCTTTTACCTTAAGCGGCTATTCTGCTTTAACCGTCCGTTCCTGAGATGCTTTTTTTTAATAGATAAGTACCCCGAGAAAGTCTTCCACCATTCTTAATTTGCGAAAGCAAATAAAATGACGAGTAATTGGTCGTGGGTATATGTCAAGAAGGAAAGAAGATTAACAATGATATCCAAATAGGCAGCTGCAATTTTAAACGCAGTTTGCATCCCTTGTATTTGAATAACTAAAAAATGTCACGAGTCCCTCTAATAATTCTTCTTTTTCAATTAAATTCCTCATCCACGCCGTCGTTCGCAATGATCGTTTTTAGATGTCGTCTGGGCGAGATTTACGAGATCGATATCCAGCGATAATCGAGTCGAGGAGAAACTTGGGTAGGGAAAAGTAATGGGCGAAGTTTTGGCAGCAACCAGTGTTCGCGGTTTATGCCTGGTTATATCGCGTTCTTGTTACTAGAGAGGCGGCTATGAAATCTCTTAAATTTAACTTGAAGTTTACGACGTTATTCATACTTCGTTTTCGCGTAATAATTTCCGCGCGCGAGAGGGGCATCGTTTTTCGGCAAAATGAACTTTCGCGTTTGCTATGTGCATTTTCTGTGCCGTTTTTTTTTCGCTGCTATGCGAGAAATTCTGCCATTTTAATTGTATCTCGCGATAACTGCTAGACGTATAAACGGCAAGAATTCTGCATCCAACTCGTGTTACACGATAAAGGGAATGTTTGCAAGGAAGCGAGGGGTCGTGGACCAGACCAGTGGTGCACAACCTTTTTCGTGAACGGATTGAATAAAATAATATTTTTATTTTATTTTAAATGTTAGCACGTAATCCTAATGAAATTGCAGTAAATTGCACGATAGTGTCCAGAGTTCTATTACAGATTTCTCGTGTAAACTTTTTAAGTTGTTTTTGATTATTTCACGAGTCGAATTGTGCACCACTGCGCTAGACACACGCATAGTTTGTCGAAGAAAGCATTTCTGCTCTCTTTCGCTCGTTTAACACCAGTACCTTTTCATCGCGCTCGCTAGGCTACGGTTGTATTGTTAGGAAGGCATCTGGAAGCCATATAACGCATATCCCGTTAAAAGAAAGGTACTCTCCCTTTTGCCACAGCATTCTGCAAAAGCGAATTATGCCAAGCTTGTGAGAAGACATGCAACCTTGGAGGAGTATTCTGGTAAGCATTAAGCGGCAGTGAAACATTTAGAATTCTTGCACATTTGCGTGCCTCTTACGAAAAAGATTCTCGGAAACTAAGAAAAATCAACGAATACGAGGTTCTCGGAGACCCCTTCTCCGCTTGTTCTCCGTTCCTGCTACCCATCGCGCAGAAGAATCAATTTCCCCTCGAGGATTGCGATATTGCATTAACGCCGTGAATTGAATCCCACATAAATGTGGGACATCGCGTCCTCGAGTATGATGTTCCGCGCTTTGT